GAGAAGACAGTGGAACAGAGAGGCTGGGGACAGGTGGGACGTGAACTGGGATGGCCAGCAGGTACAGCTGAATAGAAAGAAGCCCTAACATTGCAACTTCAGTTGGCATTATCATTTCAAAGCATCTGGTAGAAAGACTCCTGGACATTCTAGACAATAGGAAGCAAAGAGTGCTTGAAGTGATCAGCACGCCAGCTATCCTGATCGGTTCCTTACACAAAATCCATGTATTCGAATGGCATACTAAGACTGAGAACATAGCTCACTGGTACACCACTTGCTTAGTGTGTGCGTGTATACATATACATATTCATACAACATAATACAGATTCAATCCCCAGCACCACCAAAAATAAAAGAGGTCAAACAATATTCTATAAATTCATACAAATTGCCATATCCATTAAGAATAAAAATATACATCATAGAGGTTTCAAGAAATCCATCACCTTCTTCTGGCCTCCATAGGCACTGCACACACATGGTGCATTTACATAACAAGCAAGTAAAATGTTCATATACAAAAAGCATATTTTAAAAACCAAATATATATAGAAACAGAATTCCGTGCTAGGGAGACGACTCAATTGGTAAATGACTCCCTTGCAAATGTAAGCATGAGTTTGATCCTTAAAACCATGTTTTTTAAAAAAAAGTCAGGCATAGGCTGGCAAGAAGGGTCAGAGGTTAAGAGCACTAGCCCAGAGGACCCAAGTTCAATTCCCGGCACCAACATGGTGACTGACAACTATCTGCCACTCTAGTTCCAGGACATCCAATGCCTTCTTCAGAACTCTGCCAGCACCAAGCACATATGTGGTGTACATATGTACATACCGGCAAAATACCCATATACATAAAATAAAATTTAAAACCAACAGACAAAAAAATGTATTATCCCAGCACAGAGGCGTACGGCGTCCCTGAGCCATCGAGCCAGCCTTACCTGTCACCTCTCGAAAATACACTCTCAGATGACATCAGGCTGGGTTGAACAAGTTTGCCCACTACTTCAGAAACCCCTGAAGTGGACTGACAAACATAGTCCGTGGGGCCTTTCCAAAACTCCCCCACAAAGCCTCCATAAACACAAGCTTTAAGTCAAAGTAATGCAAATTTTTTTTTTAAGCTAGCAAATCTTCTACGTATGTCGTGATTCTACCAGCTTCAAACTCAAGCCTAGAACCTATTTCTCAGGCCGCTGAGTATCTAATCATCAAGGCTGTAGCAATCTCCTGGGCTAGATTCCATTACTTGCATCTTTCAAGAAGGGGAAATTAAATACTAGAGAAAAAAAAAAAAGCCCAAATTTACTGGATCACTAAGGCTGAGACCCAAACTAAACTTAATCCTCAACCTCTTACACATTTAACACCAGTGTGCATTTGTGTGTTTATGCGCATGTGTGAGGGATCTGTGTGGACAATGAGATTTACATAGGTTTGATGGGGGGAATAAGGAAGCACCACTACCAACTCCCAAGAACGCCCCGAGTGTGTAGACTATGACTGCAGTTACTAGAAAGGTGGCCTGGGAGGGGCTGACTTGGAGTGTAAAGTGTGTGGTGCACAAGCATGGGGACCTGAGCTCACATCCCAGCACACAACGTGAAAAACCAGATGTGGCAATGTGTGCCTGCAACCCCAGTGCTGACAGGCAGAAGCATGCACAGCCCCTAAGACTTGCTGGCCAGCTACACCAGCCCTAACAGCAAGCTTTGGGTTCAGTGAGAGACTGGCTCATAAGCAAGGTGGAGAGGGGCAGAGAAAAACACCCAGCCTCGACCTCTGGACTCCAGATGCTCACACACAGACGTATGCGCAATACCTACATGCAGGACGCTCACACACAGACGTATGCGCAATACCTACATGCAGGACGCTCACACACAGACGTATGCGCAATACCTACACGCAGGCACTAGCACTCTTGAGGAACCCAGGGTCCTGGCACTGCCCTGGGGAGCCCAGCCTGGTGTCTCACACTGCCTCTATCTAAGACTTGCTGGCTGCAGCAAGCCCTGGTCTACAGTCCTCAATGTAGGAATTAGAAGGATGTGAGCTGATAAGCAAGCTGCTTCCAAATGATAGGGTATCTTAAAAAAACAATTTAGTCAGCCATCTGAATTCAATTTAGCAGAAACAACCATGGTTATAAACTGACCAGTCTCCATGACGGCAGCCTCCTGTGTGAGCCCCAGCCTTCCTTCACTGGGGCCTCCCACATCCCCGCAGAGCCCCCTCCTTTATCCTGAACCCAGCCTAAGGAATGCTGCTGGACTATCAAACCTACCCCTTCATAGCACAAGACAGGCCTCATAAAACCCAAAAATGAAACAAGCACAACTCCTAAGGATAATGTGTTTTAATGAGCTGGAAACGGCGACTATAAGAATATATAGTAACAACGCATTTAGAACAATGTAAAGAAGGGGGCCCAGTGAGCATGCAGTCCAAACACCCTGATATAAATACCTGATCCCTCACATGGACAGCATGGGGAACAGGTGACAAAAATAGCTGTGCTGGGATGGGGGAGACTGGGCCCTTTTGTTTCAAATGTTCTCTTGTAAGTGGGTCGTATGAGCTGGCTTCTGCCCACCTTGCGCTTCCCACCACCAGCTGCACCCTGCCACTCCTAGCTGAAGCCTCCCTGCCATCCAAAGTCCCTTGGGCACCAGGACTGCCTCTGCACTGCACCCACCATAACGTGCAACTATACTTTTATGAGGGAAATTGTAACTTAGCTTAACAAGCTTCATGAAACCAAGCAGCCTCTCTTACCCCACAAACACCACACAGGTGCCCGGCGCACACACACTTAACACACACATACCGCACACTCTCCACACAGGCGCTCACCACACATACACTATACACACTACACATACACTACACACACAAAATACACCATATACTCTCACCACACACATATTACACACCATACACACTACACACTCACCACACACTTACCACATATACACTCCACACTATACATACACTCCACACACCATATACTCTAACCACACACACTCTGCATATAATGCATGCTCATCACACATATTTACTACACATTCCACAAGTCACCCCTCCTAACATACACACACGTTCACCATACACATGTACCACATGTACCCACCGCAAACATATCACACACACTTACAAATAGTCACCACATACATACCACACTCTTACCACACAGATCACATGCTCACCATACACACGCGACATGCATCATATACACTCAATATATATACACAGCTCATGCTACACACACCCTCACACTTACCATACTACATACCTCTACTATACACATATCACACATGCACATACTCACTGCCTAGAAATACACATCAAATGCATGTAACACACATACACACACCATCCATCCTTCCTTCGTCACCATCCATGACTCCTCACCCTTCTCCCATCTATTGAAAAGTATAAAATGTCAGTAAAGTTTTTACAGTAGCACGAGTCTCATGAATTTCCATGTCTTCCCTAGGGGGCCACGAGGTGAGGGACCGCGACTATACCTAGCACAAATCAATCCTCAAAAGAGCAATACATGAGCTAGGCATGGTGGCACACACTTTAGTCTCAGCACTCAGGAGGATCTGTGTGTTCCAGGCTGTCTGTGTTATACCCTCTCTGTCATGGTCATAATGCTCTACCCAGTGGATTTCTCAGTAGCCACTTCTACCACACTGATAACGGGAAGAAGCAGAGCCACAGTTGGCTGCCACCGCTCTCAGCATTTCCCAAGTGTAAGAACTGGAAACAATTACACTCTTCCCCTCCCTCACCAGCAGACAAGGTGTGTGTGGCATATGCTATTTATAGCCAGCCAAGTCCCCCAAGTCCTCAGATGGAGCAAGCGAAGTTTGCAGAGCTTCCCTGTTTTCAGTTAGAGCAACCAAACATTTGCTGCTGCTGCCACCTATGGCAGAGAGAGGGAACTGCTGCAGGAATCTTGAAAGGCCCAATTGTTCCCACAGGTGCCTGGGTACGTTGGGTGGGTGGGAGGCAGCCCAGGTCACGGAGGGTCTCTAATAGTGGCTGTGGGATTGACATCGGTGTCAGAGCCCTCCAAGTCAGAACACACAAGCCAGGGCTTTCCAAACAAGCAGGAATGCTCCTACAAGTCAGACGAATGGCTGACACAAACCAGAAGGAGGTGACACAAGTTTCACCTTCCCCGCAGACCTTGCAGCAGGCAGAGTGGGGCTGGACACAGCAGTGCTTACCTGGCCTTGGTGCTGCACGACCTAGTGCTGTTGACTTTGGCAGCATTTAGCTTGGCACCGCTGCGTTTCATTTTCTCCTAGATCAAATACTTGCGAATCTGAGAATCCTGGGAAAGCAGAGAGCAGCTGAGTTAGTACCCATGGGCTGACCAGTTTCCTTGGTTCTCTGAGCCACAGATAAAGTCACTGCCAGCGAGCACTGTGGGCACACTCCTCCTCCCAGGCTCCAGTCTCTCTCCTCTCCCTCCCTCTCCCTGTCTCCTCTATCTTCTACACAACAGCCTCAACAATGACTGGAAAGCCCTATGGTGTCTTGTTCCTCCTGATCACTGTCATTCTTACAGGCAGCCACCTTGGGCCTTGATACCCAGGAAGGCACCGCGTCAGCCTGTGTCTTTCTGCAGCTGCCTCCCACTCCTGTTCTCCCACCTCTACCACACTGGCCTCTGGTGGTCCCCGGGACACACATGGTCCTTTCCAGACAGACACCTTTGTCCTCACATGCTATTGCCTCTGCCTACCCACCCACACCTCTCCCTCTCCACCTGCTGAACTCTCCTTGTCCTGGGGCTTGCTGCTTCTCCAGCCTACATGTCCCTCAGAGTCACCTGGACTCTTTCTTAGAAACAGACCGCGGCACCCAGTTCTAGATTCTGATTGCATGAAGAGCGGGTGGGGACTAAGAATGTGTGATTGTCAAAGTTCCGTGGAGCTGTTACCACCTCCACAGGCCCCCAGACATCACTCTAGAATGGCTGCCCTGGACCTCAACACTATGGTACTTCCCTGGGAAGTCTGTGTGGATTTCTCCACACAGGTCGGCCTCCCTTAGAGTTACTCTGACCTCAGACATCCCGCTAAGCCTTCGTCCATTTTGTAATGATGTGTCTATTGGTGTGAGTCTTGGAGACTTTGGAGATTGCAGCCAAGGAGCTGGAGAGATAGCTCAATGATTAACGGTGTTTATTCCTCTTACAGATTATCTGAGTTTGGTTCTCAGCGCACACATCAGGCACTTCATGAAAGCCTGTAACTCCAGAGGATCCAATGCCTTTACCCGCCCCCACCACATGTAAATAAATGGTAAATCTTTTTAAATAGCGCTGATTTATTAGTATAGCAATATGTTATTAGGGACCATAATTATTTATGCTATAATAATAAATAATAATAATTTATTGCTATATTCTTTTAACAAAATACAAAACTATTGTTTTCCTCTAGGCCCATGTCCTATCTAGTCTTAAGCAGTGTCAGGCATGGATTCCATCTCATGGAGTACGCCTTAAATCCAATCAAAAAGCAGTTGATTACTCCCATAATATCTGTGCCACTATTGCACCAGTATATCTTGCATGTTGGTCAGTGTGCAGATTGCAGGATTTGTAGCTGGATGATATTGATGACCACCTTTCTCCTCCAGTAGCATGCACAATACCTTCCCGCATCATGAATGCTAGTCAGTAGGGGGTGAAACTTTTAATTAGGCACTACATCAACTTCTCCATGTTCAATGACATAAGTAAATGCTGTCTTCAGTGATAGGGACTTACTATCAGGTTGTGGAGAGCAACTAATAGCCTTGGCAGTAGCCTGTGATGCTTGGAGGGTTCCATGGGACCCCTGTGGTCAGCCCTTATCAGAGAAGCTTCTTGCAGCTGACGGGAGTTAACACAGAGATCCACAACTGGACAATGTGCAGAGAAGGAACTTTGCAGCACTCAGTCCTACATGGGATGTCTTCATCAATCCCCTCCCCGCAAAGCTCAGGGATCTACATGGAAGAGAAGGTGGGAAGACGCACATATTAGAGGTGACAGACAGCTGCAGACACAGCAGGAGTGAAGCACATATGAACTCACAGAGACTATAGCAACACACAAAAGACCAACGAAGGCTCAAGACAGACCAGGTCCCAGCACTGAAAGAGAGACATGGAGCAGGGTGAGCATGGCTCAGGTGAGCACGACACAGGTGAGCACAGTTCAGGGTGAGCACGGCCCAGGTGAGCATGGCTCAGGTGAGCACGACACAGGTGAGCACAGTTCTGGGTGAGCACGGCTCAGGTGAGCATGGCTCAGGTGAGCATGGCCCAGGTGAGCATTGAGCAGGGTGAGCATTGAGCAGGGTGAGCATGGCTCAGGTGAGCACGGCTCAGGTGAGCATTGAGCAGGGTGAGCATGGCTCAGGTGAGCACGGCCCAGGTGAGCACGGCCCAGGTGAGCACGGCCCA